CATCATCAACCCTTTCATTGTCTACTTCCATTCTGACCGGATCGGTTATGTCTATCACAAAGCTCCCTTGTAGCCCCTCTTCTTGAAAGAACTCTCCGTCATATGTGTTTGGGTCAAAGTTGTAATCTTCATTGTGTGGGACAGGTAGTTTACTGTGTGGCGATACCTTGTTCACAACATCCCAACCCTTAAGATGCGGGTCATCTTGGCACGCCCATGGGAGATAATAAACTTGTGTGGCCTGTTGAGCCACGATATAGACATCGTCTCCTGGGTACTTGGAATCCTATCGAATTTCGACTAGCCCAAGATTAGGGGTCCGTCTTATTTTTTTAGGATCAAACCAATGGCATTTAAATATGACAGGATTAAGAGGTTTGTGGCCATGAAACGTGAGTTCGTATATTTCTTCAACTCTTCCATAATAATCGAGCCCATCAAGGGCGGGCGTGAAAACTCTGGTATTTGTGGTTCTTCGATTGGGCTGACTCTGCTCATGTCTTGTTGTGTGAAAGCAATATTCATTCACGTCATAACCGGTAAATGACATGACCCTAAAGGCACAGCCACCGGCAACCTGACTCAACTCGACGCTCATAGATGCATCGGTTTGGCCCTGCAAGCTCAAGCAAGATAGTTCGTTATATCATTCGCACGTACGAGCAACTTGTAATGTCAAACTAAGTACGAGCTAAATTAGAACGTACCTTGCGTTTGAACCAAGAAATGAAATTGGGTTTTCCATTTCCCGCACCCCGTTTAAGAAGGGTGTGAAATTCCTGCGGGGTAGGCGCCCTTGATCGATGCTAGAATTCATGAGTAAATTCCCTGTACCGACGAGAAACAAGGGGGTTGGATGTAGAATAGTGACTAGTCGAGAACAAGTTTGTTGAAAATAGTGACTTACCCCATGTACGGCTCCACTTCTTCGAGGTTGGTCAGTACATATAGCATGATAGTGTGCCACTCTTCACGACTCAAGGTCTTAAGGGTCTTACCACTTGCACTTCCGAGTTGCCCACGAAAAAGGTTGAGGTTCGATTCATTTTCCCTAGCATTGTAACGAGGGGGTGGATTATGCACGCTAGGAAGGTTGTCACCATAGTATGTTGTTGTGAAGGTTGACACCTCCTCCAGAATCGATGCCTTTGCGATGGAAGCTTTAATCTTGCATTTATTTCTATATTTCTTTTGAACAACCTTTAGGGTTCTCTCAATTGAATAGCACCAACGGCCCTGCACAGGCCCCCCCATTCGTGCCTCATACGGGAGATGCAAAATCAAATGCTGCATCGGATTGAAGAAGCCTGGTGGAAAGATCTTCTCCAGCTTACAGAGCAACACAGGTGCCATTTTTTCTATGTTTGCAACCATGGCCCGAGATAACTCCTTAGCACAAAGCTGACGGAAGAAATAGCTCAACTCTGCCAGCACTTGCCAGACATAATCTAGGACATAGCCTCGAACCATCACCGGAAGAAGCCGCTCAAGCCATATGTGGTAGTCATGACTCTTGAGCCCATTGATTCGCATAGTAGATAAGTTCACTCCCCTCCTCAGATTCGCTGCATACCCATCAGGGAACATTAACGTTTGGAACCATTCTAGTACTTCCCTCCTTTGGGGCCTGCTTAACGTGAATTCGGCCTTAGGCCTAGTCCATTTCTTGCCATTTCTAGGAGGCTGCATCTCTTGCTTTGGTCTGTCGCATAACGTTGCCAGATCCACTCTAGCCTTAACGTTGTCCTTTGACTTATCAGTGTCCATGATTGTTCCCCAAAGTGCCTCAGCGATATTCTTTTCAGTGTGCATTACATCAATGTTATGTGGAAGAAGAAGGTCATCAAAATAGGGGAGCCTCTCCAAGCCCGACTTGTGAGTCCATGCATGTTGCTCGCCATATCCCACAAAACCACCTTCTACTTCATTGACCTCGAGAGCATCTATATGAGCACGGACCGCGGCACCTGTCATCATCACCGGTGGAGGGTCTATAACTTCAAGGCCTTTCATAAAGTTCTTGGTGTCTTGTCTGAATGCATGGTCAAGAGGGAGGAATTGTCGATGTTTGTCAAACGAGGAATACTTGCCACCCTTCTTCAACCAAATAAACTTCAGAGCTGTCTTGCATACTGGGCATGGGAACTTGCCGTGAACACACCAGCCACAGAATATTCCATATGCCAGGAAGTCATGCAGGGAGTAGTGGTACCAAACATGCATCTTGAAGCTTCTCTTTGTAGCTCGGTCGTATGTCCATACCCCTTCATCCCAAGCATTGAGCAATTCATCAATCACAGGCTCCATGAACACACCCATACTATTCCCCGGGTGTTCAGGAATTATCAATGACAAGAATATATTCTGCCGTTGAAAGATGACGCTGAGGGGGAGATTGAGCGGGATAACGAACACGGGCCAACAAGTGTATGGGGCAGCCATCATTCCATAAGGATTGAACCCATCTGTTGCCAGCACAACACGGACATTACGGGCCTCTAGAGCTTTCTCATGATGAATGTCATCAAAATGTTTCCATGATTCACCATCGGAAGGATGTACCATATTATCTGGATTGTATCAACGTCCATTTTTGTGCCATGTTATCTATTTCACGGACTCCTCGGTCATGTATAGCTGTTGGATCCTCGGTACGAACGAAAGGTACCGTAGGATTTTCACGGGGATGTCAAACTGCCTCTTGAGACCATCACCATAGTCTACCTCAAGGAACCTAGAGGATTTACACTTTGGACAGTGCTTAGCTTCCGCGTGTTCGTTCCAAATAAGATGCACCCCTTTGGACAAGCATGTATCTGCTCATATGGCATCTTAAGTACACGGAGGAGTCTCCGTGACTCGTACATGTTCCTTGGCAGAATGTGACCTTCCGGAAGCAAAGTGCCAAAAACTGTCAGCATAGCATCGAAGGCGTCTCGACTCAGGTGGCACTGGGACTTGAAAGCCATAAGGCGTCCAATGGCATCTAGTTGAGAGACCTTTGTCTGGCCGTGAAGGGGTTTCTGTGCCACAGAAAACATGTCGTAATACGCCTTTGCGGTTGCCTCGGGCTCCTTATCCCTACGTCCTTCACCGAAGTGTGCTTCATGATGTCACCTAACATGTCTCCTACCCCGCCATCAGCATCAAGATCCTCGATGCGTTGTCTCACGACCTCGTCTCTCCTACATCCTTCACCATGGAGGGTCCACCGGGTATAGTCTGCCATAAATCCATACTTGCCAAGATGTTTACCCATGTCCACCTTTGTTTGTTTACGCCTGTTCTCACACTCGCTGCAGGGACACCAAACTTTATCCGTTTCTTTAGCCTCCCGAAATGCTGCTTCCAAGAAAGCATTGGTCTTCTTCATCCATTCATCAGTCCAATCTCCATAACCCCTTCGGCCAGTGTACATCCACTCATGGTCATCCATCCTTTACCATATACGCGAGTAATATAAGAATCCATTGCATCTACACGAGGATCCTACTATCTAATAGGTGAAGATAAGTCCTAATCCCACCCGAGGATGCGTAGATGAGGTTAGTTTCCATGCTCTACTCCTATCCGAGACAGAATTTCGGCAGCACCTCCTCGCTCTTCTCCAAATACACGTCCCGGCAGGGAGATTGTGTATCCGGAGAAAAACAGGGAGATGATGCCGAAACTCTGTCTCGGATCGGAGTAGACCATGAAAACTAACCCCATCTACGCATTCTCGGGCTGTCCAAAAAATGTGGACAATTCGAAACACATACGGTTATAGATCTGCAAAGATCTGCATACTTCCAACCATATCCCTTTTGAATGGGAGACACCTAACTTGGTTATGTGATCTACGAACATGATACGGAAAGAGGGGTTATACCTTGGGTGGCGGTGGAGTCAGGCTAGCGAGGCCGTGGCGGGTCGGTGCAGTGGCGAGGCAACGCGGTGCAGGCAGACCCGCAGTGGCGAGGAATACGATCGGGGTCGCCGAGGTACTCCGGCTCGGCTCCAACGGGCTCTTCTCTGCAAAAAAAGAACATACGGGCTTAATTGAATTTTTTGACAGAACCTCCCCTACACGGTGAGGTTTCTAAAACCTGCAAAAAAACGTACGGCACGATGGCCGATAACCACATATGCATATGCATTGGATTCACATTCATATAAACATATATAATCACAACTACTGCTACTACCACCACCACCAGTCCTACTGCTCCTCCTCCTCCTCCTCCTCCTACATATATAATCACACAGTGTCATATGAATTACGTTAAGGTTTGGACGCACGATTTTTTTACCTATGAATTACGTTAAGGTTTAGGCGCACTGGGAATTGAAATAGCTTAGGAGTGATTCCTAAGTACTACCTCTCAGTGCCATTAGCTAGGATGGTCAAACAGCACTACTGAACTGGCAAGGGTAATAAGTAGCTCGCATTGAAACGATATGATACAGCACGAAAGGCATCAAGTGCAGTTTAATAAGTCCATCCACCCATGAATCATGTAATAATATATATACTCCATCATCAGTGTGCACCAAGTGAATGGCTGGGTCAAGCCAACCGACACAGTGCTGCTGGTTTTGACCAAATGGTCGCAAGCAAGGGTTCAAGCCACCCACCAGCACTTGGGTAGTTCCTTGCTACTGTATCCCACATCGCAGAGTATACGTGAAGCTTCATCTGTTTCAGAAAGTTGAACCAGCTGCCTAGCTAGGATTATTCAGTTGCACCGTGTGTGTTTTATTTGTGGCTGTTTCTTGTTTGAAATCAATCCCAATTCCTTGACAAAAAGATTGTGACTACTGCAGCAAAAGGGAAAGGAAAAAGAAAAGAAAAGAAAATACTGTAGTTTGCAAACAAAGCAGGGATCTGCTTCCTGCGGCATTGCAGCCTTGCAGGTCGTCCATGCTACGTTTGTGCTTGTGACATAAACCAACTGCAAGGTGTGTTTGCGCGCCGCAGAGCTCAATCAGCTAGTACGTACTAGCAGGGATCGGCGGCCATGGTGTTCTTCGCCGGCGTCACCGCGGTGCAGTCCACCCTGATCGCCGACTGCTACATTTCCCACGACCCGGAGCGAGGCGTCGTCAGGAACCGCTCCTACGTCGACGCCGTGCGCCTCTACCTAGGTACGTACGGTCAGCCATCGATCGTCGATGATTTGCCCTTTTTTCTCGACGGAATCTTTGACGAGATGATCATCGATCGATCGAGTGTATGAATCGATCAACCATTCCAATTAATAGCCTGCACCTTGAGTGCGTGACAGAACCAGTCAGCCAGCCTGTTGCTATTATGCATCCATCCATCCATAAATACGAAAGCGTTTTGCAGGACCATAGGTCGCTATAAATGGTAGTCCTTGACTCCCTGTAGGAGTCTATAATAAAAACAAATAGTGACTGAAAACTGCGTACTGATTTGCATTAGCATGCGTGTTACCGTGAAGCAAGCAAGCGTGGGTCACAAGTTTGAAAATAAAACGGTTAGATATTACTATGTCAGGATCGGTTGCTTTCACAAGTTTGAAAATAAAACGGTTAGATATTTTTGACTGCTTTGTTCAAGTCCTTCCTATCCCCTTTGTATTTGTAGACCTGCAACACATCTGTGGGTCAATGCCTATCGAATAAAAATAAAACAAATACAATAGTCAACACGTCTACCTTTAAATGTTGTTTAAGTGGTTTTGCTTTTGATTTGTCGTTGTAGCAATTTCTCATGCTTTCCCCCTTCTAAAATTTCTTCCACTAAGCCACTTGCCTATTGCCGGCAAAAAGGTTAACGGGGCTGCTGTATCACGCCAAGCTTTAGGATTTTACCTAACCAGTGAAAGCTAAACTTAAAAAATTATGCATCGATCACTCTACCAATGAAAGTTTTATCTCTTACAAGACGAATTCATATCGTTTTTTGCACTTGATCTCAGTATGAATATGAATTCAATGAAACTACATTCTACAGACAGATAAAATGATATTACAACATTTCACTCCAGGGGAACTAGGAATGAGGCAATTCGAAACACCAATGTTCTGCAGCATGGAACCTTTTACCTTATTTCTATCAGACAAAGGGAACATGAAAGAGATGAACAAGGGATTACCTAGGTATCTGGCAGGAGGCCGGGCGCGGAGCTCGCGTCGTCGTGTGGGGGGTGCTGCAGGTCTTGGGGACGCCGGGGCCAGCCAGGGAGCTGCGTCGTCGGTCTTGTGAGGATGGGCGCCGGGTGCGGGCGAGACGAGTTCAGCGGCGGGTCGCCGGCGGAGCGGCTGGCGGCGTGGCGGGGCAGTAGCAGCGCGGCGTTATGGGCGGGGTGGCGCGTCTTGGGCGGTGATGGGGAGGCCGGCGGGCCAAACTTTGCTGGTGGAGGCGGCAGGGGCATGCGGTTGGGCGGGCGAAGGCTTGGGCGCGAAAGCAATGGGCGGGTGGCCTGAGCGGGCAGCGGGAGGAGACGCGGTGGCGAGCGAGGATGACGGAGGAGCAGGGGCGGTGGGCAGGGGTGAGGAGCGAGGGGGACGGGAGTGTGCGTGCGTGCGTGAGTGAGTCTCGCCATGCCGATTAGTCTTGGAGTCAGTTTTGCCGAGTGTCCGCGATCCGACACTCGGCAAAGCCGGGATTTTTAAAAAAAAAACATTAAAGATCTTTGCCGAGAGTCAAGCCGATAAGGCACTCGGCAAAGACTATACTTTGCCGAGTGCTAACCCTAGGACACTCTGCAAAGGTATTTTTTTTTTAAAAAACTTTTCTATTTCCTTTCCCTTTTCCTTAACCGTTTTTCCAAATTTGTTCCAATACACTTTGAAAATACCTTGTCAAATTCACTCAACAATGCAAATTTGATGCTTCAGCGAAAAATAGACCATGATTTCATGTAGTTATAGCTCAAATTCCATTTATATAATTGCAATTAAAAAATAATAATTATCAAATGGATCCAAAAAATCACTAAAATTTAACATGACACGATCTTTGATGTTTATTGGCTATACAAAAAGTTTCGGAGTCAAACCACAACTCGACAGTTACTTTCACTCTAAATCTTACCAGATCATTCTCAACAATCATGAAACTTCTTCGGAGATGTTTCGGTTTGTAAGCAATGTACGTGACAACTTATGCGACACCTTCTCAATTTTTACCACAGCCTCCACATATGATATCATGACATCTTATCAAATTTTATGATTTTCGGACTTCCTTTGCTTTTTATAGAATTTAAAACCCATTCAACCACACGCTCGGGGCGTGTTTCCGAAATAAGATGTTCGAAAACCCTTATAATCTTATAGGTAAGGCCTCAAACTGGGTTGAATAACATGAATATCAATTTTATACTCATTTTTTCCAAATATTTGAATCACTTACGATTCAAATTTAACTTAATTAAAAAAATTGCTTGAAATGCAATTAATTAGTTAAATATAGCAAATAAATTCAAAAATACACCAAACTTAAGCATGGAGTACCACATGTGGTATGTGGAGAGGTGAAAAATTTTGAAGTGCAGGAGTAAAAAAAAATTATACTTTGTCGAGTGTCTGCTTTTGACACTCGGCAAAGAGCCTCTTTGCCGAGTGTTGCATTTGTACACTCGGCAAAGAGCTGACGGCGGCAGGCTGGTTTAACGGCGGGCCAAAATTTGTCGAGTGTGAGACGTTGACACTCGACAAAGAAAGTCTTTGCCGAGTGGCATGTCTGAGCACTCGACAAAGAGGACGTCTTTGCCGAGTGCCGACCCTGAGCACTCGACAAAGACCAGCTTTGCCGAGGGTCGTGTTGTTGTCGAGTGTTCGAGTTTGGGCACTCGGCAAAGACAGCCTTTGTCGAGTGCCCGAGATAAAAAAAACTCGGCAAAGTTCTTGGCACTCGGCAAAACTTGCGATTCCGGTAGTGATTGTTTCACTTAAGCATGCATTGCATTCATGCATATCATTAGGTACAATCAGGGGCGGATCTAAGGGGGGGGCTCGGGGGGGCTCCGGCCCCTACAAATTGGTGCATCAATGGAAATATGGGGAGAGTGAGGTTGAAGAAGAGGTGGAGAAAAGAAAAAAAATGGAGAGAGAGGAAGAAGAAGAGACCAGCCCCTCCTTCAATCATGTTTTGCATCCGCCACTGGGTACAATGGTGGTTGATGGGCCACTTGATGCACAAGACGGTGTAACAGTGTTCAAGTCCAAAAGATGGAGATGGTTGGATAATGTCCCGAAGATTGAAGAATACCAACATTAACATAAGTATAAGGATGAGTTACCTAGGCAAGCCTCAGTGCATAACTCCTATTTTTCAAGCACATATTAGTTGATGATGTGCATTAAGTTGCAGGAGTTGATTGGAAATCACCTGCATAAATATCCTATCCTATGAATCCAGCTAGTATGACATGATCGTGTAGTATGGCAGGGCTTGGCGGTGTGTTTTTTAACTGATTGTTGTATCTAATTAACAGTTTAACACAGACCCTTGAAACAGAGCAGATGGGGGGTGTCCGCCTCTAAAATACTATTTGACCGGCTCTATTAATAGTTCTTCCAGTAGTGTTATTGCGCCTATTTTCTTGATGATAGTCGATGCGCTTGTCAATAGCAAGAGTGCAAGGCACTTGTGTTCACTTCATCAACCTTAGGATTTGTGGTGACTTCATCAATATTTTAGGTGGATAGGATGATTAGGATGTGCATGCCTAAAATTCAATGGGTGTGCATTGAAACTTAACTACTCCCCCAGGTTCGACAACGGTCCCTGGACATCTACCATCGATCATAAAACTGGGACTGGTCTGTTGATGGTAGTAGATAACTGGGAGGGAAGAGAGGTCAGATGAGCTGGTGGAAACAGGAGAACGTTGATGTCAGAATAAATCTATTGTCGTCGAACTGCAGCTCAGGTTTCTTTATTTTATTCTGAGCTTGTACGTCCAAATTTTGGAATCCTGCAAATATTTTCTTAAGTCCACTACGAAAAAAACAATAGATGAGAAGGGAAATTTATTTTAAAGATGAGATCAACAGAGACAACAATGCTTCAATACAATGTCACATCTCGAATTGAAAGAAAGATAACTGGAGAGGCAGTTATTGACTTATGTTGCCAGAAAGATAGATTTCGAAAGGATCCTAGTTTCAAAGAAAATTGATGTCATATATATTAATGCTGGAGCAGGTTTTACTTCTTCTTGGACACCGATTTCTCCTTGGAAGGATCATGCTTCATGCATGCTGGGAAGGGGAGACCTGAAATTTCATATAGGATATTAGCACCCCAGAAAGATAGCATAAACTGTGGTTCTACCCAGCGACGGACCTAGGATTTTATCACAGGGTATGCTATAATTTTTCTATGCAATTCGATAAACCATTTACAATTCGGTAAAACTATATTCTAATTCGGTAAAACCAACTACATTAAATAATATGATGAGCCTTAAATTAAAAGATTAAGCTACAAACGACAATAAATCTCGATATAAAATGTTCAAATGAAACACAAATAATTCATAATATAGAATCGATTTGTTTGGAACTTTCGGTTAGAAAACTCACAAGTCACAGGATATGATGGACTAGTGACCGGATGCTAATTATTGATCTGATGCAGTGATGCGGATGAATGAACTCACGAACTGGAAAAAAATGACTCATACATAAATAATTAAAATTATTTAATTACACAAGTAAGAAGAAGAATAGAAGATTAATCTTAAACTTGCCTGCCGCTGTGCGTCTCAGTATCTCGCCGAGCGGCAGCCGAGACGATAACGTTGCAGGCCCTCCGGCGTCGGGCTTCGCCGCGGCCGCGCCTCCGAGTCTGGCGAGTCGGCGGCCGTCGTGGCCGCGTGGGCTGTGGGCGCGTGGTGTCGTTCCGTGATGGCGTCGATGTGACCACGCGGATTCGACTCTGCCGCTTGCGAGTTGCGACGATCCAGCGGGATGGTTGCAGGCGGTGCGCGAGAGTCAATGCGCGGGACCGGTGGGGTTTCGAGCCAGGTGGAGCGGAGTAACTGCGCCGAGCACCGTATGCGCGAGTTCGCGTGCCCGCACAGATGCCGAACGGCTGGGAGGCGTCGGGTACTCCGGCGTGTCTATCAGGTAGTAAGCTTTTTTCTTTTTTTCTTATATAAAAATTTATATTCTGGTTCACTTACACCTGGACCCCAGGGTATGCCGTGGCTCACACAGCATACCCTGTGGGTCCGTCCATGGTTCTACCGATGTTAGGATATTTAAGTAAAAGCCTTAGTTAAATTAATAAAAAAATTGATGGCAGCAAGTTACAAAATGAACGCTGATATAGTTTGGTCCCTAAAGAAAGGAATGCTATTGCGCTTGACAAAAGAGATGAAAGCATTTAGTCATTGAGTTTAACATGTGTCTCCGCTTCTATACAAATTCTCAGTGTAACCAACGAAGTTCGGGTTGTTTGAGTTGTGAGCCTTTGCAACAATAAAAACAAAGAAACTTTTCTTGAATATAAACATATATAACAGAACATAACGGAATTACGTGATTGAACAGAGATCATGGGTGTAACGATGTCTCAAGTGTTCATACCTGCTCAAAAATTGGTACAAATTTCCCGCTGAGCTTATCAACAATATCTACTATGGAAGGCCTCTTTTTACGGTCAACCTCCACACACTTCAACTCAATCAGAATGCATGTTTTTACTTGGTTGAGGCCATTTGCATCTAGTGATAGGTACTTGTATATTATTTGCTCATCTGTCTTCCAGTTTTGATGTACCTACAGAATAAGGTTTAATCATTAGTGATAATGTATTAACTGAATGCATGGAAAGATTCAAAAAATAGATGTTTCAACCAAGCAATGCTGTCTTACATCGTCGACAAATTTCCTTGCAGCTCTGTCTTCAGGACCCGCATAGTTCTTCACTCCAGTCGCGATCTCAATAATAAACATGCCTAAACTATATATGTCTGACATGGTGGATATTTCGCCCCTGTATAGATATTCCGGAGCCATGTATCCACTGCAACAGTTTATCAAAGAATCAAATGTCGTTTGCTTTATATAATTTGGAGGAAAATCATGTTTCACTGTTTGTTTCGACTTACTTATGCCCCTTAACATTGACTGTGTACGTCCGGGTTTTCTCTTGTCCAAAGAGTCTCGAGAGACCAAAATCGGCTATTTTTGGCACCCAATTATCATCCAACCATATGGAGTTAGGCACAAGATTCATGTGAACAAGGGAGCCGTCCAATTCCTTATTATTATGAAGGAAATGTAGACCCTGGCAGATCCCCTTAATTATTTTGAATCTTGTGTCCCAGTCAATTGAACTAATGTCTGCTGAAGAAGTACAAAGTAAAGAAAGTACTAATGAATTGTAAGTATCTAAGATAGTATTCTCCAAAAGTGTGTATTGCTTACAGTAGTAGCAATAAATGAATATTGAAAATTATTTGTCTTTTGATAATAAATGAATTGCATAGTGGAGAAAGAAAGACAAGCATGTTGGATAGTTCATTACATACCATCAAGGTATTTGTCCAGACTTCCCTTAGGTAGATATTCGTAGCATAGACAGATTTCGGTCATTTCAACAATTACATATCTTCCATTATGCTGAATCACTTTCTTCTGTGCTTCATGGCAGTAGTGAACCAGCTCTACTATATTTTGGTGTTTAAGTGCCATAAGGTTTGTAACCTCAGTTTCAAATGTCATGCCAGATGGCACTGGTGCGTTTTCAGCAAGCCTCTTGACAGCAATCATGCGCCCCCCTTCTGGAAGAACCCCCTGTTTAATTAACCTCAGCTCCTCCATGGATCGTTAGTAAAACGGTTTTGTATGTAAGAGATTTTTTGAGGTGTAAATGTTAGGGTCCACTCGCACCTTATAAACTGTTCCAAAAACAGAACGACCAACTTCTCGCTCAGGAGAGAAATCACTGGTAATTTCCTTCATAAAGGTCGTCGGTAGGTTTGTTGGTAATGTACTGTCAAGACTCTGCTGGCTCGCCATCTCTGATAACTGAGGTAGCTATATGTATAAGACCTGCTGCAAATCAAGTCTTCTAAAACACCCAAAGAAGCAAGGAATTTTGCTCAATCGCACGTGGCAAGAACATGATTATTCTTCTGAAACCATTCGAAAGAAACCATGCTTTCATTGCTTTTAGACTCACAAGGTGAAAAGGGGGACTGAACTGAATTTGTACATAAACAGCATAATCACAGGCACAACATTGAATTCGCACTACATTTGATTATAGTAAGCAAACTGTTTTACAAATAAGCAAACTCGTAGGAGAGCTAACCTGGATAAGAACACTTGAAGGATACTTGCTGCAGGGACCAACAATTGAAGGAGCACTAACCGAAGGAGGCTGAGGTTCTGAGACGGATGCCTCAATTATTGCTGCAATGTAGGAGTATAAAGAAAGCAGAGAGAAGCTAGGTACCAACCGTGTACAAAGACAAGTTGACTTGACCAAGATGCCCAATGAGTCAGTCAACCGTAGCTCGGTTGGCTCGTTCCTTGTGGTTGGAACGGCCGGTCCTGGGTTCGATTCCTGGAATCGACCCAGGGCCTCACCTCGGAGATGTCTTTGTCCGCAGCCTCTATCGCGTGGAGTCATAAAGAAATTACAACACACTCGTTGCGAGCTTTGATGGTTTCGGTGATCTCAAAAAGAACACAGTGAATTGCAACACGCTCGTAGCCTATGGGGCCTCGATGGTTCTGGTGATCTCAAGAATGACGCAGCCTTTTGATCTGTGTGTAGTTGTAGGTCTAGTAATGCACGCGTGGTGCAAAGTATGGTGTGTGTGGGTAGCGTGAGCCTATGTTTGTGCATGAACAAGATACTACAAGTGTACCCGGACTGAGAGGATTCAAATAAACAATGACAATACGTGAGATCGTCACGCGCTTTGGTGACTCACTGACGCAGGGTTCGTAGTATGAACCGTGAACCTTGCATTGCTATGTACACATATCTGAACGCCACATTGAAGTTTTCCATAACTGATGTTTGAGAACACAAAATTCTCGAATTTTCTGTGAACAAAAATACCTATTCAATTAATAATGAATTCATTAGGCTAATGCACAAAGGCATCGCTCATAAAAGAGTTATGGTTTGGATAGGCACCAGATGTGTTTAGTTTTATTAATTTTCTCATTGATAAAAAAAAACAACCACAAATCTAGGTCATTTAGGACATCAACATGCTGAACTTTGACTAGCAGCATCTATGAAAATACAATATCTAAAAATATTATAGGCAATGTTTTCAAGTCGTCCGATTAATCACAATTAATCACAATTAATCGTCCTAATCGGTCCCTGCTGACTGATTAGGGATACCGTCGACTTGTACAAGTCGTCCGATTAATCGCGATTAATTATGATTAATCGTCCTAGTCGGTCCCATGGTGACTAGGTTCGACTGGACAACTTGAAAAGATTTATTATAGGTAAGGAAAGTACCTTTCATTACAACAAAAAGAAGGAAAATACCTTTTGGGATAACATAAAACTTTTACTTTCAATCTATCCAGTTCTCTGTACATTAATAGCCAAACTCAAAAAAACTGACTGAGAAATTCTAAAACAACATGAGTAGAAAATGATTGATACAGCCGAAGAAAAAATCAACACTTTCACAAGATCCTTTTCTTACAAACTGTAGTATAAAATTTAAGTAGCATATTTCACCGCAGCCAAGTTCTCGAATTCTGCTTACTGCAATAATACAGAAAGCATATGTTTCAGTATTCACTGCCCTGATGACTGCATCCTGACTTCATCGAGTGCTACAATGAAAAGGAAATGCCATATAGTGTTCATTGTTTCGTCCAGTGGAGGCCTCAGTCGACGGAACAACTTCCTCCAGCTTCAAAGAGGGTTTGCTTCTATGGTCAGCAAATTGGTCCTCCAAATTTTTCCTTAGGTTCTCATTTTTAGAACCAATAACTCGCACATCCTTAAGTTTCAAGAGATGATTTAACCCATCAAACTGCAGCTGCGATCCATTATTACAGCAGCCAGCCGTGAGCAACTCAAGGTTTTTCATGGTTCGTGATCCAAAAGTTAAATGCAAGTTGGATGCGCTAGCAATCTCGAGGATCTTAATGTTTTCATAACTGTGATCCTCTACACCCTCTACCACCACATTAAAGTTGATATTACCATCATGACGTGGCTTGACACGAAAACGTAGAACACATAGTTGTTGTAGATCCCCAAGGACTTTCATGTCATTGTCCGACAATGTGTCCAACTCCAGATTTAACTTTTTGAGGTTGTAAAGCTCCTTGATCCACCTGGGCAATTTTTCTACATGACCGTACAGCTTTAGGCTCTGAAGTTCATTTGCAAACACAGGGACCATGTCATCTAAACAATTTTGACTGTCGTTCCTGAGCCACACTGCCAAGGACTCTAGGCGGGAGTGACATGAGACGGCAGAACAGAACTCCTTGCCATTTTTCCTGCTTACCCCAGACACTCCAAGTTTGTGCAGTTGGGTGAGATTCTTGAGCTCTTTCAGGATGCCTTTGCCCCCTGCTGAACCAACATTGATCACTCCAAGTGTATGCAAAGCGGTCAGTTTTCCGATCCCAGTCATCACCTTGACACCAACTAGTTGATGGCATCTGCGGAGGTCTGAGAACTTCAATGCTACAGAACGATGCGCTGATGGATCCTCAGGTGAAAACACAGGGCCCGCCCGGATGTATTGCAGCTTCTTTAGCTTAGTGATGGACGCTTGAGTGGTGACTATGCTGGTGTATCTGATATCAAGCATTTGGAGCTGTCCTAGTTGACCCACTGAACTTGGCAGATAGCTGATCTCACTGCATCCCCTCAGAGAAAGGAACTTTAGACGGGGCAGCAACTTTAAGATGTTCTGGAGGTCTTTATTTGTCACACCTGATGCATCCTCAAGATCAAGCACCCGAAGAACCTTCATTCCTTCAGAGATGAAGAACGATTCCCATTGCCCAAACACTGTTAGAGACCTTAGCCTCGAAAAGTCAATTTTCCCAAACACTATCCTATCTCTTGTCCAGCTTTGTTCTATGACAAGGTGCCGTCCTCTGCGCCTACTTGTTGGACTGCAAGTTCCTTTGAGCACAAAGAGCTCAATTGCGGTTGCAATATTTTCTTTCAGAGGTCGTGAGATCATGTACTCACGGAAGATAGCATTGACTTTAAACGAGACCATTCTCATATTTGTGATTGTTGTAAGTGGTGGTGGCTGAATCATTGCCTGGTTAACCAGCCGGAAAAATGTTCCTCTCCATTCTCATCCGCTGTATAGCTTTCACTATCGGTGGAGTACCCCTCTGCGCCCAACCGCATCACCAAACGCCGCCGCCCGAGTGCTGCTGTGTCCAGGGAAAATTAATAGGTATGCAACAAGCTTCCTGAAGTGCATTGGCAAAGCATCGAAGTAGGATTGCATCCAGCTAAATAGACCATGTAAACAATCAGACTCTGGCATGGTCTCCAGGTTGAGCACGAAATTGTCATTCAACATACTGGCCTTTTCTCTCCAATTATAGACTGGGCTCAAAATCTCAGCTAAAGCAACTATTACTTTTGGAAGTCCACCACACTTTCTAATAAGTTGCTGCAAGACCACTTCATTCTCCATATTATCAACAGAAAAAAATGGACTTCGTACCTATAGGTCAAAAAATCAATTATATTAGGTTCACATATTTCAAGTTGGGACATATAAAGTGTGCATCAATTATATTGGAAAATAGCATAAATCTATTATCTTTTTTTAACCGTAGTTATCTTTGTATTTGGCTAACAAGAGGAGCCTCCACGTCAATTCTCAAGGCTTAGAAATTACCACATTAATTGGAGAAAATAAAATCAATGTGCCCATATACATATTAATAAATTATCCACCGCTGCCATTAGGTTAAAAGTAGCCTAGAGTACCCTTTACACATGCTAATAAATTATCCACTGCAAAAAAAATTAATCTAATATACCTTTTATCGCTGTTTGCCTGTTTCCCTATTACCCTTATAATGGTTTAGATAAAAAAAAACAAATAGAGATATCATAGTACAACAATACACATCTGGAAAAAAAAAGCAAGCAACATGCATGCGAATACACTCAGGCCTTAGCTAAGTATTGGTTTCAAATACAACAGCAGATACATGTGGCACAACAAAATAACAAGTCAACAAGGCAGGACTGCATACAGGGTCAGTCCATGCATTCAAGGTAACAAGATAAAGAATGCGGGTTTGGAATGACATTGGGACTCAAAAGATATTTGGTTGTGCGTGTAAAATCTTGATTGTTGAGTCAACTAATTGTGAAAAAACCATGTGAACATATAGTATTGTTTAATTCAAGATGAGCATGTGAGCAACTAGTTAGCACTTACTTCCTCCATTCCAAATTGTAAGTTGTTTTGGTTTTTTAGATACATTGTTTTTGCTATGTGTACCTATATATAAGCAATGTCTAGATGAGCAACGTCTATTTTCATTTATTCTCTTGTACTCAAGAAAATAAATATTATCCGCCACGTTGGCAAACATCTTTTTTTTAAAAGATCCAGGAACATGTTGTTCCAGCAAATATTAATAAGAGAATTGGCCCAGTTTACGAGAGAAACCGGGCCCAAAAACCATACTACCTATAACTAGTAACAAGTGATGGAGCTCATCGAGTGCTATCGTTGCTACGAGCTTCGACATAACATCGACTCAGAGCCATGGGTGGCGGCCGCTGCTGCCCTACGCCAAACTCAACAACTAAAGGAGCTCCAATAGCTTTAACATACACACACTCAAGCTTATCCTTTCAGTTAAGATGGTGTCACCAAGTCAAAGAAGGCAAATATGGAAAGTTTGCATAGGTGTCACGAGAAAGTGAGTGCAAAATATTAGGGCATCGGTGCCTTTGAGAAGGTTAAATTTGCAAACATCAGTGAGTCATGCCCTATGAGGTGTGCAAGGGTGTTAGTCAAATTGGTCCTCAAAATTGGACGTGGATGGTTGCCGGTGTGGGCCTCAATACTTGGGGTGACGGGTCAGTGGACACATGTGACCATTGCAAAGCTAGTGTTGACCTAAGGCTCAAAGGCAAGGTGAATGGTATCCAAGTACAACCTTACTCAAGATAACAGTCCTAGCATTGTGAAAAGCTTGGCGAGGGACAAATCGTCACATGCTACCTATGTCACGAAGGGCAAAAGTCATACGAGTGCAAGACAAAGTAGGGAAAAGAAAAGAAGAAGCTCTCCAAGTCCAACAAGCCTTACTTGAAGTTTGGCAAAAAGTAAAGCACACCCTTCCTCTTGATGAACAACAAAAAGGTAATGGTTCACAAGGTCAACAAGCAATGCAAGATGTGGAACCAACCTATTTGGTTGCCTAAGGATACCATCACTAGCGGGAAGGGTTTCATGGAAAATTGGGTTCACAAGGCGGCTTAGAGCAAGAAGGGCTCTGAAGGATTTGGAGACTTGGTAGACATTACTAGATGTAACAAATATGGGCTCTTAGACATATTCATATTGTGGTTTTGGTGCACTAGGACTAACATATGTGTTAAAATGTATTAAATAGGCTCTAATATGTCCTACTGATACAAGGAAACAAGTGCATAAAAAGGAGAAGAAATAGTGTCAAACGAAGCAAGTGTGCAGAAAATGCGCACGGCTTAATAACTGCTAATCTAACGGTAAAAAGACCACCTGATGATATGGCGGTAGCGAAAAGGCACCATCAGACCATCTGGTGACTGATGAAAAAGCTGAAGTTGGTTCCGACAACTTCCTTATTGTAGTTGGAGTACGAGGATGCTAGAATCTTGGACAAGTAATTCTACACTCCATCCACCCTCCAAGGTCAGATCATCTTTGTGAGGGTTTGGCCTTGTAGCTTGAGAACTTGAGTGATTGGCTTAGTGCCATTGTACCTTGGTGGTGCCGGATCACTTGGAGTCTTGGTGCCTCTTCGGCAACGTCGATTACCCTCTGAGCTTGGTGTGGAGTGCAGGAGACTTGTTGTGCGGGAGATGATGAGGCTCCTACATTGGTGGAGAAGCTCCGTAGTAAAGATGACAACAAGGCGACTGGGAGAGTCGGGCAGCAAGTGGTTCATGGCACTTGTCTTGGTTGGTGGTAGCCTTTGTGGCTTGCCAAACACTGACCAGCATAAGGCTGCTGATCGGGAGCATATCCTTTGTGGAGCTCCAACATAGACTAGTTGTTGCACTTTGGCAACCGATGTAATGGGATAAATCATCATCTCAAGAGTTTGTCCTCTCTAACCCTTCATCTTTACTTGCCGCATTCACTGCTTCCGCTTGTACTTGACTTGTGTGATCTTTACCTTCCTACATTACATTATGCTAGTTGATAGGATTGGCTCTACCATACAAAACTCTTGTGGATTAAGGGTAAATTAGAGCACACTAGAAAAACCTTACATGAAGATCATGCTAGAACTAGATTATCGCTTTTTCTAATGGTAATTTTATTTGAGCCCTAGGTTTTAGGTTTTTGGAAGGCACCCAATTCAACCCTCCACTTGGGAGCTCACAGTCCTTTCACTGGCCAACCTAAAGTGCATAACTTTTCTGCATTAGAGATAGAAATCACATAGAAAAACCTAGTGCACATCTAGATAGACTTGTGTGGGTTTCTAGATGTGCAAAATTAGCCGTATTTTTTTAGTGACTCTAATTCAAACACCCTCTTAGGGCATCATAATTCCAGTAGTATGGAGAAGACATTCATCTCTTGTGTTTGTGTGTCTTTCTATTGTCTATACATGTTTGTTTACCTCTTTCGTGCTTGCTTGCTTGTTGTTATTATGTGCTACAACTAGCATTGTTACTCACGTAGTATGATACAGTGTGCTCCACCGCTAGGTGTGCACATGCTTAATTCAGTTTCATCTTTACTCGCCTGGTATGATAGGGTGTGTTTCAATTCAATTCTCTTCAATGCAGCCTTTTCCATTGATTTCTGTAAGCTATCTAGTGCCACGAGCGTGCATCAACCAAACCTAGACTGATCACTATGTCAATTTACTAACTTTTATCCACCTTTATAGTATGGTTGAAGCCTAGCAATACCTAGACTACTCTAAGTATCCTTCATCCCTTTATGATATTTAGATCTAGAAGAGCATCAATCTTCACATCCACATCAATTGATTGCTCCACAATTCAAATAAGGACCTAAGACGCCCAAGATTACTGTGACTTGGATATGTCTTCAAAATAAACTTTTTAGTTACAACAATACGGTTGTCATTAATCAACAAAATACTTACCACTTTCCTAAGGGTCGAAATCGAAATGTTTATATCTAGGCAACCATGAGAGATTTTGTCATGTGGGGCTGCCGTAGGCGCATGTGTCCAGCGCTGGATGTGGTCACCATGCACTCCTCAGATTGAGACATATGCGCCTACGGCAGCCCCACATGACAGATTTTATGTTTGTAATAAGATGCATAAAGTACAATATGTCAATGGGGGAACAATAGTGTTGGAAACTATCATTTGACTAGCTAAACGCACCTTCATTTTGAAGAGATCAATGGCTGCCTCGACACTTAAAGCTTTGACATTAAAGACAAGATCTTTTCTGTCCGCACAGTGGAAGGCAATTTTTTCTTCATTTGTAATAACGATAATAACACTTTCAGTAGGTCTTGATAGCAAGGCAGCTCGTATCTTGCCCCATTCTTGTGTGAGCTGTAGATCTAGATCATCAATAACGACAAGGCACCTGCGATCTTTTAGAAGGTTGCGACACTGTTCAACAGGGCCTATAGCTTCATTTGCTTCGAGTGAATGTGAATTAAACTGGAAAAGTAGGCTCTGAGAGAAATCCTTTAAATTGAATGGATGGGATATGTCCACCCAGCCATGCTCCTCAAATAGGTGTGCCATTTCGTGGTACAAATTTCTAACAAGAGCAGATTTCCCAGATCCAGGTATCCCCCACACGGACATCACATGCAATTCATTTATACGTGCTTTAGCTAGATACCCAGGAAGTTGATTGATATCTGATGTGCGTCCAATTAGGGCATTATTAGCAGGTACCTGGCGGGAAAAGTTGATTGTTCAATTGTTCACCAAAAATATAGGAATTTGACAATTAAATAGTTGCGAAATAACAGACAATATGGATTATAATATTTTGTTTATCTCATATTCTAAAACAACAATTAAAAATAATATGAATCATACATTGGCCGTTGCAAATCAAAATGTTGAGCTTGAATCAGACAAATGTGCTTTACATTTTAATGTATTGACAACATTCATGTACAGAATTAATTTGGCATTGACATATACGGAGTATAAGTGTGTTTATATTTTTTATAATATTAGTATACTTTTCATCAAATAATTTAACATCAATATTTTTCCTTTGATATGTTTTTGGAAGACTAGTGCCAACTGCTTTGTTTTGGTGACTGTATACTTACATCAAAACAGCAGGAAGAAGATAATTGAGAGAGACATTTCTTTTTTTGTCAGAAGTGAGAAGTGACTCATGTTGTTCAGCCTTACCTCCTCGTAAAAGGTACATACTGAGTAATCAGCCCAGAAATGCTGAATGTATCGAAGCCCGGTGCAGAAGCTTACGACCTGGAACTGCTCTGTGAGGACGACAATACAACTGCTGTTACTCTTGTCTGGAAGCTTTTCTATAATAACACCCCAATCTTCCTTGGTGGAGAGGTCTTCTAGGACAACAAGGTATCGTCGGTTGTTCACTTGCTCCTCGAACTCATCAGCGATATGATCGTCTTTCACTGGACCAGCACCACGAAACTGATCCGTCAAGCTCCTGCAGAACTCAGGGAGATTGAAAGGGCTCCCAAGCTTCACCCAAGCACGGCAGCTAAAATCTTGCCAGATTTTTGAGTTGTTGTAGGCCTTCCTGATGATGGACTTGCACGCTGCTCCATGATCGCCCCCTAAAGCCCACACTGAGACCACCTGACGGTGACTGCCCCTCTTGGTGACCAACTTGGTGAGAGCATCCATGTCTCGTTGATTCATGGCGCTGCTCCCTGCTTCAGCGAGCATGTCAAACGATGAACTGACGTTGTGCAGCTGCTTCATCTCCATGACAGGATTGGAGCCACCAGAATCGCTGATAAGTGTGTAACGCTCCTTCCTCTGGATCACATCCTGAACTCTCACCTTCATTTGCGCTATGATGCCAACAGCCTCATCTAGGGGCAGCGGCGGCCGCATGCATGATGGTATCATACGGCACCATCGGTCTGATTCAGACATGGTGTCTAAGTGAACAACGAACTCGATGCTGTCTTCCACGTCGTAGGCAAGGTCAAGTACCTGAGCCACAAAGGTGCCCACGACGTTGTTCGTGACGTTCTTAGTGGTGGAGCTGAGAAAGGATTGCATCATCTCAAACTCACCAACAATAAACACCAAGTCATGCTGTGCACTCTGCTGCAGCTTTGACGACTCCTCTATCGCTGACTGTACCTTGGCTATGGTCCCCTGCACCAAGGAGTTGGCGACCCCAAGCAGTACATCTGCCATTGCTCGATTTCTGTCTGTACTCTGTCCCAATGTGCTTGTTGTGTGGCGGAGCTACAAACTGATGTGCTATTGCTCAGAACAGTGCTGTCTGCGTTTTCTGAGCACCTGGGGCTAGGACAATGAGAGGCCCTCCTGTGAAAAGGCCGGCAAGATGTGTTAGATAAGTTGGGTCTATAAGAAATTCATTTAGCTGCGCACACAAACTTTCGCTTGCTAATTTAGGCCTAGGTTTTTTGGGCTTCTACTAACCGCTGCATGACTTTTATAGTAGCAGAAATCAATAATAAAAAAAAAACTCCATTTTGAGAAGCAGATCCAAAAGCTAGCTATTTGTTTGAAAAATAAGTGACTTTAAAATTGGCTTATTAGAAGCTGACTTTTCTGAGAGCCTTTTTAAAGTAAGGCCTCCCTTAGGAAGGCTTCTCCTATCAGAACAACTCCGACTTCAAGTGAATCTTGTGCACTGTAGTTGAAAGCTAGGACTTCTCTGTACAGGCCACAAGTTTCTTGCAGCTTATGGCATAAGTTCAAATAAAAGAGAGAGCACAAGCAGATACTACCTCTGCCTTGAAAATAATGCAATTTTTACTCTGTTCTTAGTCAAACTATCTAAAGTTTGACCATATATGTATGCTATGAAAATATATTTAATGACAGATGTAATGGCACTTATTTGGTATCCTAATTGCTGATACTTTTTGTATAAACTTAGTCAAACTCGGAATGATTTAATTCGGCACCATGGTAGAATTATATATTTTTTTTTGGTGGAACTGAGGGAGTATTTTCTAAGAATAACGAATAGCCTAGTTGATTAAACACCCGCTTCAAGAACTGGCCATTCATATACAGGTATTTTCCTACCTTTTGGCTAAAAACTAACGCGACTGTAGCATCGGTACCAGTTCAACATCACAAGGCACGCCTATGATTGGAACTTTACCAACCGGTAGTTGTTGGGAATATAAGTTGTGATTTTTCTAGTGTCAACTGGTAGTGATGGGAACCGTAGTTGAAACTACAGGTTAGGGCTGGGCCTTCAGGCAAGACTTATTTTTTCGGTCCTGTTCTCTTGGTCATCCAAAATCAATATCCGAAATGTCACAAAAGTTTTATTTTTAAAAAAAGAAATGTCACGAAAGCTAAACTGGATTTTTTTTTTCTTTTACCGAACCGAGAGGATGGTGGTGGGTGCAGCAAGTGGCGACCGGCGGCGTCGTTGGCTCTTCCAGGAAGTAGATCTGAGCACTGCACTGCACTGCGCTGGAAACCGGAAAGTTCGAGCAGCGCGATCTGAGGTGACCTTACCGGAATCCGCACCTCCACCATGCCGCTTCTCCCGGTCAACGGCGGCGCGCTCATCCCCATCAGTCCACCACCCATAGCACCTAATGCGCGCCGCCACCGCCGTTGATGGGGCAGGCGGGCGACTCGCCGCTCACGTAGCATCGTCAGGTAGGCAATCGAGAATTCGAGATGCAAGGGGGTCAGCGGAGATCGGTTGAGGGGATTGTTACTGTTGGGCCTCTTTGGTCAGTCAATCGGGGTAGTAGACTGAAAACATCTTTGGTCGGTCAAACTTGCGATAGATTTTTTGGGGCCTAAATTTTAAGACAGTACAAGTATATTATTATTTTGTGATTTGTTACTTATCTTTATGTTATAATATATCAATTTTTTGTCCTTGCCTGACTATAAAAATAATTGTAACTTACTAATTGTTTTTGTGCCAACGCAAATCAGTTTTTGTCGGGTCCGTGGTTTTATCTAATGGGTTTTTATTCTCGGAACCGAAAATTACAAATTGTGGCTACAGAAATTGCAATGAACCAAAAGTGCAATTTTAGTGCAAAACATATGCAATAAACATCGCCTGAAAAGAAGTTAAAATTGAAGCACCAGAATTTTAGCAAATCCATTTTTTTTAACAGTTCGATGGAAATTTTGTTCAAGTAGCTAGTACTATTTTCTATTTAGGTTTCATATTATCAGCATGATTATTACCATGCACGATTTTGCATAATAAACGTTGATATATGGAACCGAAATTTCGCGGACCATCTGAACCATCGGCAGGACTGGGTTCGTACATGTAGAGAACATACCTGGTACCGGTCGATCAAACAAATGTTGAACTGCTGCTGTTCAGGATTTATGACGTTCCTGCCCGGGCGGATCTACTCTTGATTTTCTGACCGATCATTTGGTCCGAACGTCAATCGATCAAGCCGAGACAATAATGGTTTTCCTATATGAGAACTGGTTAATTAACAAGACAAAAAAGACACAGCTAAGCTTCAGAGTTCTCCTCTGAGACTAGCTACTCTTCTCCTTGGATGATCCAACTGGCTTGATCCACTTTCTGACGAAAAGTTTTCAGAACGAAACAAGCAGAATGAATCAAATCACTAACCTCAAGCAAATCCCGCGGACAGTCAATTTGGTTGAGGAGATCAGTGTGAGGCGAGGACAGATGCGGAGAGGGACACACAGGCCAGACCAAGCGCGGTAGGTGTTGCTAATCAGGCGATGCCGTGATGTGGAAACAATAAATAAGTAGGTATGTGGGCTAGAGAAGACTTGAGAGTTGACTGACCTCACGGACTTCACATAGTTGGTGCGCGTAAGCGCGTTGCGTGTACGGGTGGAAATGAATATACAGCAGAAAATTCGTGTTATTAAACCTTGTTATCTACAAAAATTTCAATATGAATATCCATATTTCTATCCGATTCTAATGTGGTAATAATAATAATAATAATAAAGATGTAACTAAATCCATTTCATTTTTTTCTCTGCCCAAATCTAGATTTATAATACAAAAATAGGAGTACAGATGGATATCCGATTTTATGTGTATTTGTGAAGAACATAGTACAAGGTGAAATTATACATCATTTATATATTCTTGTGACTAATGACTAATGATATTAATTTTAATATTACTAAGATGTACCAACAGAAACTATTTAGAGGTAACGGCTTATAATAGCTTTATTATTAATAATGACATATAAGATTGATCTAATTCATTTTTAATAAAATTAATGACATTAACTTTAATATGACCAATAATATATAATATAGTTCTCAAAGAGTGTACATTCCACTTTTAGAAGTCGAAACTATTCAAATTTGTGTCTATGATTAATTAATATTATTTTTGAAAGTATTTAAAGATATATATGTGGATAACAATTGAACTGTTTGCAACTATTTTATTTTTAGCTATAATCTATGTGATTTAATGATGTGTATCCATGTTTTATTTTAATGTCCAGTGATGTACTCATAATCAATATCTTTATTGTTTAGATTAATCGAGTATAGTATACTTATATTTTCATCTCCCATTATATTATTTTTTCCTAAAATTACTTAAAATGAGGATGGGTACTTATAGGCAACAAAATTGAATAGATATCTATCTACAAATTTGAATCCAAACTACTCGATTCATTTCTAGGGATATTGGGATCCTCATCTCATAAGGATACTAGTACCATCTGATAAGGATACCAGTACTTACACCTTTGTCATAATTCGAGAAAAGAAATTGTAATTTTCAAGCTTGATTTTTAAAAGGCTTTTGATAAGGTAGAGCACCAAGTAATGATAACCCTGCTGGAAGCTAGAAGTCTTAGACAGACATGGATTGGCTAGATCACCTCAATACTCAATTCTAGAACCTCAGCGGTGGTGGTGTCATTAATTGGAGTGCGAGGGAAAATTTTAACTACAAAAGAGGAGTAAAGCAAGAGGATCCTATGTCACCTCTCTTTTTGTCCTTGTAGCAATTTTTTGTAGTCTTTGATAAATACCGCCAAGGACAATGGTTTATTGAAATTGCCAATTCCTTTGCACACTGCTTCAGACTTCCCTGTCATACAGTGCGCTGACGAAGCTCTCGTCATCATGAAAGGTGATGCCAGGCAACTTTTTTTTCTTGAAATCATTGCTCAACAGCTTCTCTGAATCAACATGTCTGAAAGTTAATTACAAAAAATCAATGATGGTACCTATAAATGTCTTTGAACAAAAACTAGATCATCTGGCTAGAACCTTTGAATAATGTGCAAAATGTTCCCTACCATTTACTTACCTCGGGCTCCCATTTGGTCTCACAAAACCGAAGTTGTAAGAATTCATACCCTTGGTCAACTAGTGAGAGAGAAGACTTGCAAGTGTCTCCACCTTTTTATCACAAGCTAGAAGCCTAGAGCTTACAAATGTAGCATTTTATTCCTTGCAAAAATTTCTCTAGGAAGCCATCTAGCCCAGTAGCCCCTTCACCGGTCTAGCCCAGCGAACCAAGACGAGCCCACCTGGCCGTGAGCCATTTTCCCTTTTCCTGTTTTCAGTAACAGTTCACATCTTTGAAAATCCATATCAATTCCGTCCCAACTCCGAAAATTATGAAACCACTTTCACAATTTTTGTAAAAACCTACTCTACCTCTTAGTGCAGTCCTTAGGTTCTTTTGAGTTAGTTTTTGTTGCGGTTTATTGCTTCTTATTGGTTTCCGCTCTCGGCATTTGTTTTCCGTAGCGACGAGTTGTGCTTAGATGGATCCAAGGACGCCCCCGATAGAGGAGACTCCCGCTGATCGGCTATGACAACTCTTGGATACATGCACCACTACTTCCCGACATCGTAGGTGTCATGGTAGCACCCTTATTTAGAAAATCCTATTAGGCATTGCAAAGTAGATTGCTAGCGCTTTACATTTATTTATTTGCTAGTATATGTGATGCATGATATTGCCTGAGACTTTGTTTGGCTTGATTGAAAACTACTCCACCCTAATTACGTTCCTAGCTCCACACTCGCACTTATATATGTATGTTTGCTTGCTTGCATTTACTCCATCATACTTACACATGTGCCTTGATATGTGCTGTGTGATGATTGGGTGATATGTTGATGGTGGTTAGGGTTTAGCCGTGAGGCATCCCCACAAGGTATGGTATGATACGTGATGGGAGCGGTGAATCCTGAGT